TTCAGTATTAGGGTCGCACAAAACATATTAAAATAGAGGGTTGCGAGTGATAAACACTTCTATAATATGCAAATATGGTATATAACCCCTATATATTCTTAAAAGTCCATAATATATATTTTTTGTGGGAACAATGGCATGTTGTCAGTAAAACAATTAAAAAATTAAAGTGACCTTATGTAATTGGAAAAAAAAAAAATGTAAAATGACCAAAGTACTAACCAAAAGAGAGGGAAATGGTGTTTATATGTAAAATGACCTAAGGGCATTTTGGGGAGACCAAAAGGGCGGTTTAGGGAATTTGTTACTTAATATAGGCATGTGCAACGAACATGACTACTAAAATGTGATTTTCTGATCTATTATACGAATTAAGCCCTTATTTGTCCTTTTTTAAAACTTAACGGATTTATATACTCAAAATAAAAGTTAGCAGTGTTATTTGTCGAAATTTTAAACATTAAGGATATTTTTCTCACTTTACACTAAAATAGATTATCACTTTATTCGCAAAAAAGTGGCCCTTATAAATTTGATTACGGGCTTCATTCTATCATATCATCGTCTTGTAGATAATTTTACGAAACCACTCTCGCGACATATTCTTAGCAACTTACGAACCAAACTCGGTCCTTGGCAGTTGGCGCTCTCCAAATCCAAGTTTGAGGGGATGCATTAGAGATCAGTTGTAAGGCGTCAATCCTAATAATCGTTATGAGAAAGATGTTAGGTTTTAATTTAAATTTATTTTTATCTTAACACATTATAGGAGTTTTGAATTTGAATTAGGAAAATGATTCTTGCACCGAATAGTTGCAGTAAATTACTAGACCTACTCTATTATGTAACAAATAAGGAAATGAAACCCTCCACTTAGTTGTATCTAGTATAAATAGCCAATTAAAAATTATTCAGTTAGACAATTCACAGTAAGTATTCGGTGTGAGTATCACTACTCTTTGAATTATTATAAATTTATCCTCTATTAAAGTGATAGGTGAAATTTGAACTAAGGACATTGCCTAATACCATGTTCACTATCTAAGCTAGAAGTTAAGTTATAAAAAAATGGCGTAGTTTTAAATTTTAAATCCCGTTGACGCTTGCCTAGGTCATCATTTTTACTTGATCACTTGCCCATTTAGCAACCACAGTTGCTTTGTGCTTCTACTTTGACCTGAAACAGAAACAATATTTCTGCTTTTAGAGTGTGTTCAATACTATTTAGAAACTTGCTTGGTAACGTAAATTTGTTACAAGATTTTTAGAAGCAAAAATATGAAAGTATGTTTGGTAAAAAGTGTTACAAGTTTGAAAATTTAAATGGTTAGTTAAAAATATTATTTTAGAAGATATATATATATAGAACAGTGCTTTGCTACAGTGCGGAAGCAAACAAAAACATCATTCTGATATTTTCGATTTTGGCCTTAATTTTGGAAGTGCTTTAGTATTATTCAAAAGCATAACAAATACTATCAAACACTTTTTGTACTTTTGCTTCGCTACAGTAGATATTACTCTTCTTCTTCTTCTTCTTTTTTATTTTATTTTATTTTTTTTAATTTCAATCTCTATATGGTAGCCACAATATAACACTAATCGAATCTCTGTCTCTCTCTCATGCACTCTTTTTTCTTTTCTTACTTGTAAGTGTCACTTTATCAACAATTCATTTTTGTTTCGTTAAAATATATTTTATTAAACCGCCTCAACCTCTTATTTTTTTAATGTTATTAATTGACCTCACTTTGTTATCCTTGTAGAGAAAACTTTATTCTCTAGCAGTCAAGATATCATAATTACGTAATTTATAGCTTGGAAAATATGCAAAGTTGATGGATTCATGCTTCTTTCCATTTAAAAATGAGATTGCCCAACTCTTACAGTATAGCATTATATTTGTGATAAAACAATATATACGATGGATATAATTATTGATTTTGTAATATATATCTATATATATTGTACAATTGTTTTACTTTGTCTAAAAGCTAATTGTATTAATGCTTGTTTTGTTAGTAAACTAATGATGCACATGTTGTCAAAATTGTGATTTCCAAATGTTATGGGAATCATCTTCATTAATTTCTTTTTTTTTTTTCGGAAAGATTAAGCAAATAAAGGATAATTAAACAGTAAAAAAAATGGCCTTGGGCCATTACAACCCAGAACCCTGGAAACCCAAGGCCAAATATGGACTGTACTCTAACCCAACCTAAGGACAACCCTAGCCCATAACATCCCTGTTGCAAAATGTTTTTTGGTCAAGACTCTGAATTTACCCCTTTTTCTCTCCCTCTCTCTCCTTTACTATTTCTAGATTCAATGAAACAGTAGTTTATGTGTTCCGTCTAGTTTGGAATTTAAATGTTTTTATAAGGTGCATCTCAAACTGGACGTAACATAATTTACTATTCACAAGATGATATTTTCTTCCATTAAATGTTTTTATAAGGTGCATCTCCAACTGGACGTAACAGAATTTACTATTCACAAGATGATATTTTCTTCCACCTCCATGGACCGTGGAACAATAATTCCTACTTGGGATACATGTTACAAAAAAAATTAAGATACTTAGCAAATATCTCAACCTTTTTATTACAAGGAGCATCTCAAACTGTCCGTAACAAAATCTACTGTTTACAAGAGGAGATTTTCTTTCTGAATCATCTCCAATAGAACAGTAGTTCTTGTTCGGTCCCCAGCATCGGATCCAATTCTCTCTCTTCAGACTGCACTCCATCTGACATGCAAGCTGTATCCTCTCCATCACAAGAAAGCTGAACGTCCTCTGTCCATCTTATCCTGCTACAACACCACTCTTTAATCCATAGGATCATCCTTTTCACCAAGAAACAATAGCCGGTTTCAAGGATAAAACAGTGACCAATTTTCCTCTATGAAAGGGTCTACTCCTCCTCCTCCATATAGGGCAGGGTCAACACACCCTCTTCAAACCCTTTTCCCTCATCTCTCTAACATTCCAACTATTCTCTCTTCAAAGTTCAAACCCATCTCTCTTCTCTCTCTCTCTCTAAACCACTAGCTCACAAAACCCCAACAATCATCTTCCAAAATATATACCCACACACACACACACACACATATATATATATACCACAACCATATATTTTATTCTTTTCTTTTCTTTTTTTCTTGCATTCTTTCACCTACTGCACGCATGCATCAAGCACACATATACTTTATATCTCATAATACATGGACCCAAACGCAAACCATTCATATGTGTCTTCATTCACATGCCTTGAAACATTAATATTCTTCAATATTATATGTACCACTCACATAAATGGGCGATTAAGTATCCTATTAATTTTCTTTCCTTTTTTTATATCTGTCTCCTTTGTTTTTCTTTTTCTGTTATTTATTTTCTAAAACAAAACGAATATTTTAAATTATTTGGAAACCTATTTCTCTCCCTTTAAAATTGTGATACACAGAAGAACCGTTCCTTCTCTTTTTTATCTGTTCTCTACCAGGTAACAGACACCCATACAAAAACCACCTGACCCGACCCTCCTACCAATCTCCAGTTATCACTACAAACAGCATATATTGTGGACAAATATATATATATATATATATAGTTTTTGCTAATTGAGTTTGTAAGAGAGATTCTTGATAGTGTGGTGTGTGTGAGAGACAATACTCTTTCTTGCTGGGTGTGCGAGAGAGATTCTAGAGACTACTCACTCACTCACACACCCAACAAGAAAGAGTAACCTCTCTTACTCACACGCACCACACTCACCAACAATCTTTCTCACACCCTGGCCTGGCCACCAAGAAAAGCAACGAAAATGAGAAAATTATGTGTGTATGTGTGTGTTTATTACTTACAAATAGAGAAAGTTGACAATTGGAAAATGAAACAATGGAGAAAACGAAAGTTGGAGACCATATTGTAGGATTCTTCCCGGGCTAGCTTCTTTTCATAGCTAATAAGATTTGTTATTGTCTGTTGCTTGATCCTTTGTACAGAGAAATGTCAATTTTTTTTTCCTTTTCTTCTTCCTTTGTAAGGCTGACTTTTACAAAGCAATTGTGTAACTTAACTCAGAGTGGTAAGCATAAGTTGGATCAACGTGGTAGTCATGCAGCTAGCTCAATGAATCATTGTTGCCAAAAATGGAGATCTAGTTGGGGCCTGCCTTGTGCGGGCCCGCCTGCTTTTTTATTTTTTAATTTTTGTGATTCAAAACTGTAGTTCAAACTCAATTTAAGGGTATGTTTGGCAGTGCAAAAAAATTTCAAAAACCAGGTTTTTTTTTTTTTTTTTTTTTTTTTTTTCACAACATAATTGAACCAAAGAGCCCTTAAAACCTTCTTCTTTTTTACCAAAAAAAAAAAGAGTTTAAAAAAATGGAAAAAAGTAATATAAAGGCTTTTAAAGCATTGCATTATTATTATTTTTTTAATTTTTATCTTATTGTATTGTTTTAATTTTTATATTTCATAATAAATATCATATTGTTTAATTTTTTTTGTATGATATAGCCGATAGGAAAAAGTTTAAAAAAAAAATTATTAAAAGATTTTAAAATATTATTTTTGGAGAACGAAAGTTAAAATTTAGAGATTCCAAAACACTGACGTGATTTTTTAAAATGTTGACGTGATTTTTGAAAAATGCTAAGGTGGGATATTCAAAGAGAATTTTTAGAGACTCTATTGGAGTTGTTCTTAAAGTTTCGTATCTAAAAAATTTTTAAAACCAAATAAAATATAGATTTTGGATTGAACACCAATTAGCATAATCATTTAATCCCATACATTTCATGGACTAATTGTTGTTGTTGTTGTGAGTAGTTGTCTTAAATTCCATTATTCCACAATATGTGTATGAACATTTATAACGGATCAAATTACCATTTCATCTATCAAGTGTTGACAACCCTTTGAAAATGTAATTTGTATTGGAATAGGTGTCAAAATATTATTGGGCCAAAAGGAACTTCTTTCTTATATGCTCTAGTGTTGTGTTTATTTATTTTAATAATCAAATTCTAAATTTATTTAGCTTAATTATGCAATTTCTTGTTTACAAGATTTGATGTATATACATATAACATGAATTATACCTCCTCATCCCAAAACTCCTGAATAGATTTATATGGGCCTTCATCCCATATGAATTGGATTGCATCCCACCCCTTCTGCTGTGGAATTTGACTGATCTTGTGGCAGTCCTCAGGGCTCAGTGTCCAATCAAATATCTCAAGGTTCTCTTTAATTCTCTCCTTATTGAAACTCTTCACAAGAAGACTCACTCCCTGCTCGTAAACCCATCTCAGGGCTCAGTGTACGATACTCTATTATCGTAGGGTTTGGAAAGAATTTAATGTATGTAACCATATTTTCGCGTGCAGAGAGAGGCTGCTTCCTTATTCAAATCCGTGACCTCCAAGAAATAATGGAGCAATTGCGCCGAGGGCTACACTGTCTTTTGTGTGTGTGTGTGTGTATATATATAAAAGACAAGAAGCACCAGCCTTATCTCTATATGAGGAGAGAGGCTGCTTCCTATCTTTTATATAGAGAGAGAGGCTGCTTCCTATCTTTTATATATACAGATAGATACAAAAGATAGTGTAGGCCACAGCGCAATTGCTCCGTTGTGAGCTGGACACCACGGATTTGATCAAGGAAGCGCCTCTCTCCGCGTACAGAGATAAGGCTACATATATATATCTATATGTATGAAAATTTACCTGAGCAACTGTCTTTCCCCTAGCCTCAGCAATCTCTTTGAGAACCTCACAGTCCAAGACTTGGTTGGTTCCCCATACTGTTCCTCTTGCCCCTAAAGGTGAATAAGCAGTGACATGGATTCCCTTTTTCTCACAGAACTCTCTCAGCTTACTTTGCTGCCAAAGTGGGCTCATCTCCACCTTCAATATTTAAAGCATATATAGTGCTTTGCAAATCAGTCATCTTCTCAAGAAATCACACGATCAATCAGTTGAACTAAGAAATGAAGAAATTTAATGAATATGGAAATTCATAAAATTTTATAAAAACTCACTTGATTGACCATGGGAGGGATTTTTGAAGTTAGAAGTAACTGGTCTAGCTTCTTACAAGAGAAGTTGCTGACTCCAATATTTTTGGTGAGGCCAAGTCTCTGACACTCCTCCATGCCTTCCCAAACACCCCTGATATCCATGGCAACAATGTCCTCCTCCTTGAAAGGCACCTCATACGCTGCTTCTGGCTTCAAGCTCACCGGTACGTGGATCAGAAAAAGATCAAGATACTCCAATCCAAGCTTCCTAAATACAACATACAAATTAATTGGAAAATTAAGGAAAAGAAATGTTAAATATGTACATACATATCAATTAATTAATTAACAAATGATAAAGCAGAAGCTATGAACGTTCAATAGTGAGTCAATGAATCTGCTCTTTGCACTACATGTATTTATGATAAAGAAGAATTAACACATCATAAAAAATCTAAAAATAAGCTCAAAACATAAACTTTCTTTAAAAATTAATAATAATAATAATAAATCTAGTGACTAAAAAATAAATTTACCCAAAAAAAAGTCAAACCAAAAATCAAAAGAATTCGAATTTGTTTAGACTTTAGCAAAAATCCCCAAATATTAAAAAATTAGAAAACACAATTTCAAGGTTTCTTAAACGATGGAATACAGCAGAAAAGTAGCTTACATCAGCAGCAAAGCTGCTAAGTTTTGCAAATTAGCCCGTTTCCAATCGGGATAGAGTTTTCTCGGGTCAAAACTAGTTCATCAAAACTGTATTGTATTAAACCCCGTTTGGTCTTCTGGCAGTCCAAACGGTCTCCAAAATCATCAACCTCCTATTCTACATCAATAAATAAATTGTTCTAATAATAATTGGGAACATAACTGTACATGCAACAAGAGTATATATACGTATATACGACTGATTAATTAATTAGGTACATAATGCATGCAATGCGTATGCATGGAGTATATGAATATATATAGATATATATTTAAATTTTACTGCAAAGTGCTTTGTAGTCCAGGGAGGACACGGTGACGGTGTCCATCGCTGCACCAGAGCTTTGAGGTGATGAAAAGCTCATCACGAGATGTGACGAGGCCAAGGCGGAGAGCTTCTGCTATGGCTTCACCAAGAGACGGTTCGGATTTGTAATTAGCGGCGGTGTCGAAGTGTCTGTAGCCAAGTTTGATTGCATGGAGGATGGACTCTTTCGCGGTTTCTGATACAACAAAAGGGAATACAGCTGTTCCAAATCCCAGCAATGGAATGCTACTTGAACCTACTCTAACCTTTGGAATATCAATGTTGCTGCTTCCCATTTTTCTACCTATTTTTCTTACTTATTTGTGTAGTCACAAAGCATTTTTGTTCCTTGTGTGTGCATATACACATACATGCACAGAATGATAGGACTTATAACATTAATTTAAGATAATATTGTAAAAATATTATATATGCGTGTGCGTGTTTAAGATAATATTGTTAATTTCTATGATAGATACCAATGAAATAATTAAACCTAAACTAAACATGGATTGATGATCAAGTAGCGTTTTGGCAACATCCTCACTCACAGTAAAGTTTGTCTTTACTCTTTAGTTTTATGTTACTGTCTTTCCACATGTAACACATTGTTTTTTTTCTTTAAAAAATTAAGTATTAGTTCTACTTTTTAATTATAAGAATCAATAAGTTCTAAAAAAATTTGTTAGAATAATTAAGTCCAACTTTTACTTAATATTTCTAATTATAAAAGTTCATAATTCCACTTATATTAATTTTTCTCCAATATTGCACTTTTTTGAAGAAATATTATTAATATCATTTTCTTATATGAAAATTTTTCAAAGAAAAATTTATACTATCTTGATACACTTTTACACACACATATACATATGTAACATATCCTTAAATTTACATAATATTACCTTTAGTTCTTGAAATTACATATTTGTAAAACAATATAAATAGAAAAAATTGAAAATAATTTAAATAATTCATTATTTGTATATGAATACACCTCATCGAAAAAAATTGTGAAACTTTTTGGGCTTGTTTCAATATTTACTTTTATTATGATTGTTTTAAATTAAATAACTTGTTAAATATTTTTAAAAATTGCTAATTTTGGTGGCAATTTAAATTATGTGCTTTTCTCATTATTATTATAAATTGATACTAATTAAAAAAAAATTAGAGGTAAAAGATATAGCAAGTATTTTGATAAGAAAATAACATTTAAGGCATTTGTAAGAAAGGGCAAAGTTGGAAGAAAAAAAAAAACATTGTTACTAGAATTCTTAACTTAGTTGGAGATATTTATTAAAATATGAAATTATTTGTATTTAAAGTCAAAAAGTAGCTAGGACTAACTAGTAATTTTTCCCTTATCTTTAAGTAAAAAGTGAATTTATTTAGCAAAATACAAATATACACGCTACAGACCGCTAGGCCCAAGGACCAAACAAGAAGGCCAACAAACAACTCACACACAGACAAAGGCCTAAGCAAATGGAATCTGATCCAGGAAGAAAACCACAATAGCTACACAACAAGAGAAACATATATATATATTAATATATTATGTGAGTGTGTGTATATATATATATATATATAACCTTTGTACTGTTTGTGTCTGTTTGATTGTTATGCCCTCTTAGTCAACGCTTATGAAATTTGGATTATTATTGATTTGACTTGAATTTAAGATCCAACAATGCTATTTGGTGGCCGGCCAAATTTCATTGCTTCCTTTTGATGCAATAAGGTGGAACTCACAGGATCTTATTGTCTATGGCCGGTCACTTCGCAAATAATATCATTTTTCTAAAGTTTTTTAAAGTTTTTTCATTTTCCTTTCGGGCTATAAGTCTCCTATCTCACTGTTGCCTGCTGCAAATGTGTTCACTAAATCAATGAATTAAACTCAAATTTCAATTATAAATTCTTTTCTTAAGCAAGTGGAACTTAATTCCCATGGGCACCACAAACCATAATAAGTTTTTCATAAATTTCAAAACAAACCATATATATACCACCTATTTATTAATAAAGATATCAATAAAATATAATAATATGGAAATATAAATAAAATGTTTCAAGAGCCGAACTCGTAAACACATTCAAACCAAACTCGAGCAATTAAGTTTCGTAAACATGTCACCAGTCTAAATTGAAACCAAATAAAAACGAAAAAAATAAAAATAAAAAAACACACCTAAAATGAACAAAATTCAAGCACTTTACTTTTCTAAAGAGATGGTGTGCTTGTGTACACAAATAGATGTGTGTGTTGTGTCGAAGTGCTGTGAAGCAATCTTAACATAATCACATCTAACTAGGTCCTCATTGTCATAGTTCAACATGAAGAGCTAGCCAAGTGATGGTTAGAAAATAAACTTTGATAAAGCTTATCACTGATTTAGATTTTGTTCTTCTTGTCTGGGTTCAAATCCATAATACTAGTCTGAATTTAAAATCCATAATCAATGTCACTGATTTCGATTTTGGGCTTCAACCATGTCTTTGAAAACACAAATAATATGTTAAAAATTTCCATTATGTGAAAGAAAAACTATGTATATATATGTTCAATATTTTTTATTGAATCTCACTAACCGTGTCTTAAAAGAGGCAATCTTATTATTAGGATTATCGATTATGTTACCTTTCATCATCTTAACACAAGACTTCACAATCTCTTCTTTTATGTTTTTCAAGCAAGAATAGAAGTAATCTTTTCCGATCACAAACAAAGGATTAGGTTATTTTTTCTTTTCTTTTCTTTTCTTTTTTGTCATAACTAATGTTATCATTTCTTTTCTTTTTTATTTTATTTAGAGTAAAGTGCATTAAACCCCCTTGAACTATTGATCATTTGCAAGAAACCCCCCTGAACTATAAAAAACCCCCCTGAACTATAATTTTGTTGCAATTTACCCCCTTGAACTATTGGTCATTTGCAAGAAACCCTCCTGAACTACAAAAAACCCCCCTAAACTATGATTTTGTTGCAATTTACCCCCATGATATCAGCTTCCGGCACCGAAAATTTTGAAAGACCAGTTTACTCTTATAACACACTGTGTCGTTTTAACTTATACACTTCTTATATTTTTTTTTTCTGCCAAAAAATGTTTTTCACCCAACATAACCCAAAACAGAGAGCTAGAGAGAGAGAGAAAAAAGACCAAAGAAATCCGAGGTCGGCGGGATGGCTTGGTCTCGGATGATGGCGGCTTGTGCGCGGAGGACTCGACTGTGATGAGAGCTCGGTTGACTCGACTGTGAACTGTGAAGGCGGCGGCGAGCTCAAGGGGGCTCGGCGATGAACTGTGGACGGCTGTGTGCTCGAAACACGGACGGCGGTATGCTCGGCTATGGAGATGGCAGAATGGGCCGGTGAGCTTAGAATGGATGGTGGAATGGACCGGCGAGCAAGGTGAACTGAACGGCGGGCAAGGTGGTAACGACGATGGGCTGACGCAACGGTGCAGAGAAGGGCGATATATATGGCCGACGGATCTGGCGGGTGGTGCAACGGCTATGATGGAGCTATGACAGGAGACCCACCGATCCCAGTAACAGATTCCTTGGCTTATCCAAACACTCCTCAGACGACATCTACCACTCCGATCCCAACCACAAATTCCTCGGCTTCATCGTTCCTTTCAGTCAACCAATTCGCGTGGATTGGGTAAACTGCAAAAAAATATATAATTCAGGGGGGTTTCTTGCACATACCCCAATAGTTCAGGGAGGTTTTTTGCAACTTTTATAATTTAGGGAGGTTTTTTACACGTATCCTAATAGTTCAGGGGGTTTAATGTACTTTACCTTTTTTATTTATCAAAACGAAGCCTAAAAATGGAAATTAAGTGGAGGAAAAAACCTGGTAAACAAAAGGAAGGTCAAAATGTCGGTACAATAGATGAAAACTTAATAAGCAAAACTAATTAAAGTAACATAGACTCAGCCACACTAACCAAAGCTACTCCTTATTTGAAAATTCACCAAATAGCTTCAATTATAAGTACAAAAGCATTCAAATATATCAACTGACATAATGCAAGCTGAAGATTCTGTATAATAATCAAACCAACATGAATTTCACTTATAATATACCAGCATACATACAGGCAATACATGTTCTTGAGTAGGGGTGGCAAAATGGGTCAGAAACTATCAACCCGTCCATATTTACCCGTTTTTTAATAATTATGGGTAAACCATATTTAATTTGAAAATCAAGATGAATTAGGTAATTTTTAATCACTTAATTTGAGGGTCAAGATGGGTTGAATATGATTCACATAATAAACACACAAAACACATCTATTTTATATTGTACTCAACTCATTTCTCTCTCTAAAATTCTCTCACTCACAATCCTCTCTTTCTAAATTTGTCTCTCATCAATCCCCTATCTTTAGAACTTTCTTCTAAAAAAATAAATAATTAAAAAATAATTTTAAATAATAATTAAAAAAAAATTAAATAAATTTTTTTTAAAATTTTATAACCTTTCGGAAAAAATAATTTAAAAATAAAAAATTTTTAAAAAAATTTAAATAATTAAAAAAATTTTAAAATAAATTTAAAAATTTAAAATAACTATAAAATAATTAAAATAATTAAAAAAAATTTAAAAATTAAAAATTTAAAAATTAAAAATAATAACTATTTTTATTGTATATAATATTAGACAACTAATTATTTTAATTTGTTGTAATACCTCTTTCATCAAACAAATTATATACATATAATACGTAAGAAACTATAGCCAACTTAAATTTGTTGTTATCCATTTATATATATATATATATATATATATATATATATATATATAAAATAATATAAAAAAAAAAAGAAAAAAGAAGAAGAAGATATATTTACATGAATTTAATCAAGCATATGAATACATGGGTAGAATAATCGTAATTTCAACCAATATATGAATCTATATAATCACAATAACTTTCCTGAAGCGACTCAAACCAAGTAAAAGAGAATCAAAAAACCAAAGTGAACTAAGTGATATATTAATATGACAAGGATGATAGTGATATATATATATATATATATATATATATATATATATATATATATACTATTTTAAAAGTATAGAGAATTTCTTAACATTTTAGATTTTTTTTTTCATTTGATATATATATTTTAATTTATTGCTTTCATATATTAATATATACACATACAAGTATTCATAATTAATAAAGCTGTAAACATTTGGTAACTAATCCTATATTTTTAGTTGATGGTTTGTATTCATAACTCCTATCTCTCCATTACTAAATTTTCATTATTTTTCTGAAAGTATAAAAAAATTTAAATAAAATTTTAAATTAAAAATAATAATTAATTGATCAACAGGTCATAACCGGTTGACCCTGCCCATTTTCAACCCGTTCTGAACGGGTTGAATATAGATCTTGACCCATGTTATCC